GAAGAGGGTAGAGAGAATGGTACAGCAATGAAGGAATGAAAACCCAAAATCCCTGTAAATGTTCATTAATACTAATAAAATTTAATTAAAAAAAAGAAAAAAATCAAGTAAGAGAAAGTACAAGTCTTCTCATCTGAAAGTACATTTAGTTCTTTAGTCTAAGCTGAGGGACCTCTAGTGGCTTAGTGATAAGGAGTTATGCTGCCAATCTAAAGGAATGCAGTCCAATCTACCAACTGCTACTGGGGAGAAAGATGGCAAGCTCCTTCTTGGAATTTCTTGACTCTTGACACCCACTGAAAGGTCATCTGTTAGTTGATTTTGATCCAGTGGCACATAACAACGACAGTCCAAAATTGAGATTGTGAAGATGGCACAGGCCAGGCTGGGTTTTGTTCTGTTGCACATAGGGTCACTGTGAGCTGTAGCCAAATCAATGACGCCTGACAACAATATCAAGTCCAAAGAGCAGTACTTTTCTCATACTTACCAAAAGCTAAAAAGTGGACAAGTAGACCTATAGTCACAGCCAGGATCACCACTACTGCAACAACAACAAAACCCACTACACATGGATTCAAGAATCTTGAAGTAGATGATCCTCGTACTGGCCTTAAAATAAAGGAGAAAAGATCAAAGTCACTCATTTTACTTATAAAAGTTTTAAATTAGGAAACATTATAATCTGCCTTCTAAGTCTCTTAGAATTGTACATGATTCTAAAGGAAGATGAGTGTTTTCTCCTAGAAGTGAGCTTGAAAGAAACAAGATTTCACTTATTATTTTTTTTCTTTAAAAAATAATAACTTCAAAAATAATAACATTCAGGTAGTTTGGTAGACGAATAGAACAAATTCTTCCAATTCCTCTACTAATTGATGAGGTTCTCAAGAATCATTAACTCATCTCTATATATCTTCTATAATTCTATATTAAACATGATTGCAGTAACTTCTTTCACCTGAGTACCATCCCTTGGGATATACAGAAGAGAGTAATTTCAGGGTAGAGGAAAGAAAAGGCAAGAAAAGTGCCATTTCATTATATTTTAATTCATGTTGTGAAACAATTGTGCAATGAAATTCTCAGTCCTGTCAATCTTGGCTCTCCTCCCCAGCTTTTCAATAAATTTTCAGTCCTGCCTATATTAGTTCCCCCAACCCCGCTCTCATCTCATGTCTGGTCTCCATTTCGGTCATAGCTGCCCTTTTCCTGGTGGTGAGGTTTCTTCACTGGTTGTGGCAGGAGATATCTTTCCCCTTCACTGGGGGAAGATCTGTCATTGTTCTTGTTGTTATGTGCCATCGAGTCACTTGCAACTCATAGCTACCCTATGTACAACAGCCCTAAACCCTGCAATATCTCTTGCCAACCTTATTGTCTCTGACACACCTTTCCCCCACTACCCCAGTGACATAATCGATCCATCTCATTGAGGGTCTTCCTCTCCTGTGCTGTTCCTTCATGCCTCCAAGCACCACGTCCCTCTCCAAGGACTGATCCCACTTTGTAACATGTCCAAACTATATCAGATGGAGCTTCAGAAGCCTTGCTTCCAAGGAGCAGGCCTGGCTTTACCCTCTCCAGGATGAACTTATTCTAGCAGTCCATGTTTATAAAGGCATCAACTCTCCTTCTATCATCCGTAGTCATTCTCCAGGTCTCTGATGCGTAGCAAGTAATGATAATGACCATGACCTGCATCAGGTGCACCTTAGTCTCCACACTGACATCATTGCTCCTTAGTACCTTGGAGAGGTCTCTGACAGTAGACTTTCTTTTAATTTCCTGGCTTCTGGTACCAACAGTGTTGATTGTAGAGCCAAGCAAACTGAAGCTGTCAACAATCTCAATCTCTTCGTCATCTATCATGATGCTGCCAATTGGCTAAGTGGTAAGATTCATTGTTTTCTTGACATTGAGCTTAAATTCATATTAAAGGCTGCAGTCTTTGACCTTCAGCAGCAAGCACTTCAGGTCCTCCTCAGTTTCAGCAAGCAGGTTTTTGTCATCTGCATAAAGCGGATTGTTGATAAGTCTACTTCCAATACAGATGCCACACTTTTCCTCATAGAGCCCAGACTCACAGATAATCTGTTCTGCATATAGATTGAAAAGATATGGAGCTAGAAAATATCCTTGATGCACACCCTTCCCAATTTTGAACCATGCAGTGTTTCCTTGTTCTGTTCTGACCACTGCTTTCTGGTCCAAGTATAAGTTTCACTTAAGCAACAATCAAGTGTTCTGGGATTCCCAATCTTCTCAAAGTTAGCCAGAGTTTGTTGTGATCCACAGAGTCAAATGCCTTTGTAAAGTCAATGAAACACAGATAGACATTCCTCTGGTACTCTCTGCTTTCAGCCAAGATATCCCTAGTGCCATGGGTTCTTCTAAATCCAGACTGCACTTCAGGTAATTGTCTGTTAATGTGCTGTTCCAGTTGTTTTTGGATAATCTTTAGCAGAAACTTGTTTGCATGTGATATCAGTGATATTGTTCGATAATTTCCACACTATTGGATCACCTTTCTTTGCAAAGAGAACAAATATCGATCTCTTCCAGTCAGTAGGCCAGGTGGTTGACCTCCAGATTTATTGCCACAACTTGGTGAGCACATCCAGGGCAACATTTGTTTGTTGAAATATGTCAATTGGTATACCATCAATTCCTGGAGCCTTGTTTTTTGCCAATTCTTTCAGAGCAGCTTGAACTTCCTCCTTCATCACTACAGGCTCTTGCTCATATGTTGTTTCATGAAATTCTTCTGTGTCCACCAATTCCTTTGGCAAGACTAGCCAATTCCCTTGTAGATTGCTGATACTGTCCAGTCCCCTTGTGGAATAGCAGAGAGCCAGTTTCCTGGTAGATAGACTAACATGCTTCATTTGCCTAGTTCTGCCCATTCACATAGTCAATCATCCATATCTAAATGGCTGGAAAAGTCATATTGAAAGATAAACTCCAGAATAACAATAATTAATTATAATGTACCTTAACTGGTCTTTCTGTTTCATTAACTAAATAATTAATTTATGAGACCTTGGTGAATTCTTATAATCTCCCTCATTTGGGAACAGAGTAGTGAAAGAAACAGACAAATGGTATAAAATATGTAAAGTTGTGCTAGTGTCAGAACTAGTCCTTTTCTCCATACTTATTCAATTTGTATGCTGAGAAAATAATTCAAAAGTTATTATATCAGAATTAGAAGAAGATCTACCAACAACCTGCATTATGAAGATGACACATACTTGAGTATAGAAAATGAAGAATGTTTGGAACATTCGTCAAAGAAGATTAAAGATTACAGCCTGTAATATGGATACATTTTTGGTGTCAAGAAAACGAAAATCTTCACCACTAGATGGTAAGGAATTGCACTGCAAACCCAAAGGCATGCAGTTTAACTCCATCAATTGCACCATGGGAGAAAGATGAGCAATTTCATCTCATGCAATTTATTGCCTCTGAAAATCCGCTGGAGTATATGTCATGAATGAGTTCTGACTCTGCGGCACATAACAACTATAACAGACCAATAGGTAATATTATGATAGAAGAAGAAAAGATTTCAAGGACTTTACTTTTCTTGTATCCACAATGAATATGCATAACAGCAACATTCAAGAATGTCTCCCAGAAAAAGACTGGGAAAGACTAGCGAATACTATGCTTAGTCAAATAACACAGTCACATAAAGACAAATACTGCATATGACCACAATGGTGGAAATAGAAGGATAATGGATAACTGAACAAGGTATGTGTAAATATTCAAAAGAGGAAAAGGGAGACAGAAGAAGGAGAGGGGTGGGGGGGAATATCACTAAGATAGCAAAGGTAGGAGGAGTGGGAGGGGGATGAAGAAATAGGAAAGATTCAATGAGGAATTGAAGAAAAGGGAGAATAATAGGCACAGAAAATAGTAATGATACAAACCACAATGTATAAGAATGGTTATACAAAACACAATGCTCATTAATGATTTAAAGCAAACCTATAAAAAAAGGAAAAGAAAAAATGTTTTGCACACTCTTGGTAACAGCAGCCAGGAAATCAGGAGATGAATTGCATTGAGATGTCAGGCTGGAGACTAAGGTGCGCCTGATCCAGGCTATAGTCTTCGAAATTACGTGCTATGCATTGAAGAGTTGGACAATGACTAGGGATGATAGAAAAAAAAATTGATGCCTTTGAGCTGTGATGCTGGAGAAGAGTGTTGAATATACCATGGACTGCTAGGAAAACAAACAGTTTTGTCCTGGAGAGGGTGAAGCCAGGCTGCTCATGGGAGGCAAGGATTCTGAAGCTCTATCCGACATACTTTGGACATGTTTCAAGGAGGGACTGGTCCTTGGAGAGGGACATCATGTTTGGGAGAGAGGAGGGACAGCGCAGGAGAGGAAGACCCTCGATGAGATGGATCGATTCTGTGAGTGGAATCGTGGGAATGAGTGTGTCTGAGAAGGCAAGGTTGGCACAGGATAGAACAGCATTTAGGGATCTTGTACAGAGGGTCGCTATGAGTCACAAGTTACTCGATGGCACATAACAACAATAACAAGGGAAAATATTCAAGATAAACCTTATAACGAGTAAAACAAAGACAAATTGCATTAGGGAAATTTGCTGTCAGAGACCTCTTTAAGGTTCTAAAGAACAGGGATGTCTGTTTAAAGACTAAAGTTCACCTTATCCAAGCCATGGTATTTTCAGTTGTTTTTTTCTACATCTGAAAGTTGGTCAATGAATAAGAATGGAAGAATGATTGATGTCATTTAGTTACTATGTTGGAGAAGAGTGTTAAATATCCCATGGATTGCCAAAATAACAAATAAGCTTGTCTTGGAAAGTGCAAGTAGGGTGTTAATTAGAAACAAGAATGGTGAAACTTCATAATTTGAGCATGTTGTCAGGGCCTTGGAAATAGGCCTCATGCTGGAAACGGTAGTATATTCAGGAATTAGTTTGATTATATCTATGGGAAGAATCGTTGGAGACGCTCATATCAGTTGTGAAAACTAGGCCAAGTACTGATTGTGGAACAGACCATCAACTACTCATATGTAAGTTCAAGTTGAATTTAAAGAAAATGAAATCAAATCCACAGGAGCCTCTGTAGCAAGCATTTCCTCAGTTTCAGCAAGCAGGGTTGTGTCATCTAACACAGATTGTTAATAGATCTTCAACCAATCCTGACACCACACATGTCTTCATAGAGCCCAGCCTCTCAGATAATCTGTTCTGCATACAGGTTGAAAAGGTATGGAGATAGGACACATCCCTGGCATGCACTCTTCCCAATTTTGAACCATGCAGTGTTTCCCTGCTCTGTTCTGACGACTGCCTCTTAGTCCAAGTATAAGTTTCGCATTAGCACGATCAAGTGTCCTGGGATTCCCACTCTTCTCAGAGTCAGCCACAGTTTGTTATGATCCACGCATTCAAAGGCCTTTGCATAATCAATGAAACACAGATAGGCATTCATCTGGTATTCCCTGCTTTCAGCTAAGATTCCTCTAACATCAGCTATAATATCCCTAGTACCACAACCCTTTCTAAACCCAGTCTGGACTTCTGGCAGTTCTCTGCTGATGTGCTGTTCCAGTCATTTTTGGATAATCTTCAGTAGAATCTTGCTTGCCTGTGAAATAAATGATATTTATTTTTCTATAATTTCCACACTCTGTTGGGTCACCCTTCTTTGGGATGGGAGCAAATATAGACCTCTTCCAGTCAGTTAGCCGAGTGGTTGTTCTCCAGATTTCTTGGCACAGCTTGGTGAACACATCCAGGGCAGCATCTGTTAGCTGAAATACATCAATTGGTATACCATCTATTTCTGGGGCCTTATTTTTTGTTATTTGCTTCAAAGCAGCTTGAACTTCTTCCTTCATCACCATATATTATTTCATTAAATTCTTCTGTGTCTGCTAATTTCTTTGGATACAGTGACTCAGTATATTCTTTCCATCTTCTTTTAATACTTCCTGGATCATTTAAAATTCTGCTTAAAGCATCCTTGATTATAGCAACTCAAGGTTTGAGTTTGTTCTTGAATTCCTTGAGCTTAATGAAAGAATTTGGCCCTTTTGATATTCCAACTCCAAATCCTTGCATATTTCATTGTAATGTTTTACTTCGTCATCCCGTGCTGCCTTTTGGAATCTTCTATTCAGTTCTTTAGT